TAAAATATATACAAGCTAGGAAGTAATATTATCCCAGTTATTTCTTGTTTATATTTGATATTTGTTTTTTATATTTCGTAATATTCTTTTATTCCAAGCCTTTACAGAACAGACCTCAACAGTAAGGGATGAATATTGTACATGAAAGAAAGGAGTAAAGTTTGTAAAGTAGCTCTACTGGAGACATGAAAAAATAGAAATGAGTTTTGGTGCTCCATGTCGTGGAGGCTCTCAACATCTGTGTTGTTCTACGACCTTACAACTAGTTTGATATTGTACTCGAAGGATGTAAAAATCGACTTCCTAATGAAAACTAGAACCTAGTGTTGATGGGTAGATACTAAAATTGTATGTAGAATATTTTTGTACTTAGATATTTTTTCATTGTTTTCCAGGAGAAACCATGTACAAATTTGATAAATCCTCGGCTTCTACAACTGCAGCTTATAGTAACACTTCATTTTTTAGTTTTCGTTGCACTTAGATATTCTTTCAATGTTTTGTTCATCTTTCTCCCATCATGATATGTAAATAAATTCTTCTTGTGATATTTCCATTGTGCACCAAAATTCCCCATTGCACAATGTTGCATTTCCTTACAAGTTCATACAACCGTATCAAGTTTTGTAACATTCTACACTAATGACAGTTTTTTGAGAACAAGTACCATATTTATTTTGCCTTGTGAAGGATATCAAGACCAAGAAGGTGGTGCTCAAGTGGAATATTCAGGATGGTCTACACAAGCTCAATTTACCTTGCGAACCTAATTCGCTATGGACTTCAAACAGTCAACCGTTCTTTCTTGATGAGAGGGAAATAGTTTTTCTTGATCGAATTAATTGATTTAGATCTAACTACTCGAATTGCAAATCTAAGTTTCCACTTCACACAACACTAGCTTTTCTAACAACATATTATTGTGTATACATAAAAATACTTGTCTGCACTCAAGCTTTCCAGAATTATAAATCCAAATCTCAACAAAAGGACTTCTATCTTTCTATCATGTACAAGTTAAAGAGTGGAAAAATATACAAAAAGTGAAAACAATAGATGTGAACATACCTACAACTACAAATAATGAAGAGAAGTAGGTCCATAGAGAATCCAATGCTTGATAATAAAATTAAAACAATTCGAAATTCGGGAATTAAAATGAATTTTATTGCAATTTAGTGGTAGAGTATACTTTTTATATTATACAGTATACATACCATCAATGTTAGAAAATAAAATAATATGTTTACAATAGAAAACTTATTTTTCTACTAATACTAGATTCCTTGAAAACGTTGTATAAGAAGGATAATAATAACTAATGTATAAATATTTTATTTAAGCATATAAATTCATCAATAATCTGAATAAATAGGACCTGGACACTTATGATACATATGGGCCGGATCTGCCAACATGGGCAGGGTTGAATGGGTCGATTTATTTTTCGTGGAAATTACATCCATACAGTATTTAAAGATGGGAAATTACAAAAATTTAGGTGTTTAAATATCACAATTTAAAGATCAGAGTTGAAATTTCATTGTGCAAAAATCAGATATTTATTTAATAATTTAAATATTAAATAAATCAACCCAATTCATTTCATAAAGCAACGCAACTCACCCGTCTACTCTGCTCGTCTCTCACTCTCACTCTCTACCCCATTTAATCGGCAACATCTCTCTACCACCATACTTTTGGACGCCATCTTTTGGACTTCCATTGGTTTTCCCCAATAGATTTGTTGTGTTGAAGCACAGTGGAGCCATCAATTGGTTGAAAGAAAGTCTAAATGCTTGAAAGGAAAATTTCATAATATATCCTAGAATTTGGATCAATTGGTTCAATTGATGGATTACCCACAGTATTATGGACCTCGATTGAATGTTGTTGGGTAGAATTCATCATTTGGAAAGCATTTAGTCCATCAATTGACCTATTGCCAATTCTCACGAAAACCGTTGATGTGTAAGACTGATTTTGATGAATCAAGACCATGAAATCAATTGCCTTGGTGAGGAAAATCGATCGGTGGTGGTCTGTGACCATGGGTGTTGCCGGAGTGGCAAGAATTTGGATGGAGGCCATGTGGCAAGATTGAATTTTAAAAATGAGGTTTAAAGTTTACTTATTCAAAAATCAGGTAAATGTATAATAATATTAACAAATTAGTTTATATACTCTCTCCAACTAATTAATACCGTAAATTATTTTCTCCCTCTTCCCATATTCTTTCCCTCTCTTTGTCTCTTTATCATCTCTCCCACATGGCCGTCGAACAACGAGGGGCGCTTACTGTGAGTGCTCATTGTGATCTCCTCCACACGATGACCATGAATAGCATAGCGCTGTCATAGTGACTTTTTGTGCAATGCAGATCGATTGTGGTGTTCATTTTTTGTTATTGTTTTGATGTTAGTTGTGGGTAGTTTTACTTGTTTTCGATTTTGTAAATGGTAGTTTTAGTGGTGATTGCGGTGGTGAGATGGTAGTGGTGTTGGAGATTGTTGAGTGGTGTGATGTGGCCGTTGTAGCGACTCCTTATGCAACGTCACCATGGGGGCTATGGAAGGGAAAGTCTTGGCTGTTGAGGGCATGGTGAGTTGGTGTTGGTGTGGTGGTGATGCTGGGGATTGTGGCGGGGTCGGGGCAGTGGTGGTAGTTGTGATAGTGGTGGTGTTGGTGGTAGTGGTGTTGTGTTATTGTTATTGTTGGTGGTGGTGGTGATTGTGAAGGTGGCGGTGGAAGCGACGAGATGAGACGAAGTGTTTGTGACCAAGTATCAGTGATCGATTGGGATTGGAATAGGGTGTTTAGGTTTATGTGATCAATTATTTGGTTCTTTGTAACTAACTATTGAAATGTAATCTTAAATTCGATAATTTGTGTGACCAACAAATTTGAAAATATATGATCGATAGATAAATTATGACCTACAACTTTTTGATCTGTGACCAATAAGATAAACTGTGGCCTTCAAAAAATTTTATTTGTGATCTTAAAATAAAATGTGATCAATAAATAAGTTGTAACCTATAATTACATATATGTGACCAATAATTGTATAATTATGACCTTATTATATTTAATTAATTAGCTAATACCTGATTTATGCATTTTTAAATTTAAAACTTGATTTTTGTATTGTCCATACTTAATACATGATTTGTGAATTTTCCCTTATTTGGGAAAATTTCATGATTAAGTATTGCCCATTTCAAAACTAATAAACAAGGTTTAAAACTTCAAAATCAAATATTAATTACATTTTATTTATGAAATAATTAATTAAAAATATATTTTATTAATTAAATATATTAAGGTCACAAATCCATACAATTTAGTTAAAATTATTGAATTAATTGATCACAAATTATTTCTTGGTCACAATCAAAAAATTTTATAGGTTACAAATTATTTTTAGATCACAGATCAAAAAATTTACAGGCCACATATTATTCTCGGCCATAGATAAAAAAAAAATTTATAGGTTACAAATTATTTCTCGATCACAAATAAAACATTTTATAGATTACAATTTATTTATTGATTACAAAATCGCAAAATTTTATAAGTTAAAACTTATTTAACAGTCACAAATTATCAAATGAATTGGTCACAAGTAGTTTTTCGATCATAACTTAATAAATTGTGAGTCACAACACATTTTTTAGGTGATATATTATTTATTAATTATAAATTAACCAATTTATTGGCCACAATAAACCTAATAATTGGTCACCAATTATTTAATGGTCACATATTAACTAATTTAATGGGTAAAATCTACCAAATAATTGATTATAAACAGTCCTCATCCCCAACCTGACCCGACCCGATCCCATTCCATAACCACAACCTAATTCTTGTATTAACAATAACCACTGCCACCACCAGATCCAACAATGCCTCCATCCTATCCATCGTTAATCCAACGAAACCCACCTCCGTTGCCAAATCCACTACCACTAGATCCAACACTAGCGCCACCAACAAAAATCACCGTCAAAACATATAAACCATCGCCACCACCATTTCATTGCACGAGGCGCCTCTACCACCATAGCACAGCCACCACCCACAGACATAGCCCGAAATAGACGCATCGAGTCCAATACAAACACATCGCCATCAACACAACCCAACAACCTATAGACGCACCGTTACCACCACCATCCCAGCCCCACAACGCAACACACCCCACTAGCACCACAAACACCATTGCACTACCGCCACCATGCAGTGCTTCACAAATCGTTGCAGACGATAATGCACAGTCTTGCGCAAAGCTGCTCCAAAGTTTTCCCGTCTGGCGTCGACGACGAAGTAGAGAAAATGAGAGGTATGGTAAAGAGAAAATGGACTAAGAATGAGGAAGGCAATGAACATTAGGGGTTAGGGTGTGAATATATAATTAATTGAATTTCATAATATTATTATTTAAAACCCTATTTGGTATAAATTAAAATTTAGATTTTAATCCAAACCAAAGTCAACAATCAATTTCAAGCACATATTTTCTGAATCCCACAACTTTTAATCATATATTTCATTAACTCATATCAAAATCTACTAAAAGTCTAATTTTAATCCCCATCAAATATGGGCTTAATATTTAAAAATTGTATTATCATCTGATTTTTATATATATATAAACTATAGTTCCAATTTTTTGAAATACAATCTTTAAAAGTAGGCCTTTATTTAATTTTCACTAGCATTAATTATTTTTTTAGAATAAATATATTGCACCAAAATTTTGTTAACTACAACACATTTTAATTACAATAAATTTCTCTTAACTTTTATTATTTTACACTAAAAAAAAAAGTTTGAGAATATATTTATCTTTTTCTAATAAAGAAAAAAATTAAGAACACAAAAATAGATAATTCAAATTTATCAACAATTTCAGGGGCAAAAAAGGGGGGAAATCCTAATCTTTGGCTTAAATTAGGAAGCCTACACCCATAAATAAAGTCATAAAGAGCAGCCGCAATACTACAATTTGCTTAAATTTTCAAGATCCCAATTCTTCCCTTCTCGGTAATCTCTCTCGATAGGTACATTTCAATTCAATTCTCTGTTCATGTTCTTAGCTTCTAATTTATACGTATCTGTATATTTTATATTAAGATTTAATCAAAATTGGTAAAAAAAAAAAAAAATTGATTTTTATTTCTGGCTGGCGGCGCGGTAATAACAGGCGGAACCTTGGATGCTCTTTTTGTTGTGGGGCTGATTAAAAATATCATATTTTTTCCTATCTCACTTAATTCATTATTTTCATCTTGAATTTACAGGCTGCAGTTGATAGCTGAACATGGCAGATTGGACGGATCTTCCGGTGGACATTTTGGTTGTTATCTCACAAAGTTTAACTGTAATAGAGGATTTTACTTCCTTTGCTGCTGTTTGTAAAGACTGGAAATCAGTGACTTCAATATTGAAGAAGAAGCCTTCGTTGCCTACTAGATATCCTCGGCTCATGCTTGCTGAAAAAATAGATACCGAGGATCAAGAGAATCAAGATGCGTCGATTCGTTGCTTTCTAAACTTATTAACGTCTAAGAGATTTCAACTTCAGTTGCCAGAAGCGAATGGCAGGAAGTGCACGGGAGCACATTACGGATGGTTGTGGACAATTGGCACGGATTTGCAAATCAATTTATTGCACCCCTTCTCTAGACAACAAATTTGCCTACCTCCTATGCTGACCTTTCCTGATCAGTATGAATATAATGAGAAATTCACGCCACAAGAGGTTTGGTATTTCTTTGTTTCGAAAATAGCGATGTCCTCAAATCCTTGTAAGGAGAAAAGTTTACATGATTATAATGAGGATTGTACTGTAGTTGCTATTTATGGAGAATTTTCTATATTGGCTTTTACAAAATTAGGAGGTACTGTTTGGACCAATATCTCAGTCCATTCTCGCGTTTATCAAGATATAATTTTCTACAATGGCAAATTTTATGCCGTAGATGCTCATGGAGTTGTAGTTGTTTGTGAGTTTGATGATGCCAATGGCCCAAAAGCAACAGTTATTGCCCCTGCTCCAATTGAAACCAGGGATACATATCAGAAGTATCTAGTGGAATCATCTGGACATCTTCTACTGGTTTCTCGCATCCGAAGGGGTTATTTATTTGGTGATGATGATGATGATGATGATGATGTAGAAGAAGATGATATTGATGATCAGGACGAGGATGCGGGTGATGATATTGATGATCAGGACGAGGATGCGGGTGATAATATTGATGAGTGTAAGGGGGATGTTGATGGTAGTGATAATGTTGATCAGGTGGAGGATGCCGAAGGTAGTGACAAGGAAGAGGAGAAGAAAGCTAGATACTATACAATTGGCTTTTCTGTTTTGAGGCTAGATGAATGTCATGAGGAGGGGAATAATTATGCATATAGATTAACTGAAGTGACTAATTTAGGAGATCAAGCATTGTTCTTAGGTAGTAATGTATCTACATCAATTGCCTCGTCAGGATGTATCAAACCAAATTGCATATACTTTACGGATGATAATTGTGAGCTCTATTTCAATGAACCAGGTGGAGGTGGCCATGACACCGGAATCTTTAACATGGAAGACGGAACCATTCAATTAAATTATGCTGGAGAATCTCGTAGTAATTTTTCACCTCCATTATGGTACATCTGATTTTCGACGAGTCATTTAAATTATTTCTTTCAATATTGATGAGTCATTTAAAGTATGTACTAGTTCTCTTTGATTGTTGTTCATTTAATTTCAGACATATCGACAGGATTTTGTATTTTGGAAAAGTCATAATCAAGCTTAAAATTAGTTACTGAAGGAATTCGAGAATAACACTTACATTTTGCCGTGTTTCAAGTTTTTGATCCTATCTATTCTCCTAATCTCTGATCTTTATAGCGATACATATGATGCAATCTCGATATTAGGAATTTTATAAATAAATAAGTATTTTTTCAAATAAGACACAATTCACGTGAGATTGTGATTTTGAGCATTCTTAGCCTCCGTTTGGTGTAGCTAAAATTCAGATTTTTAGTAAATTTTGATAAAAGTCAATGAAATATGTAGTGGAAACGTCGTGAGCCCAACGAAATGTATGATGAGAACTAATTTTTTACTTTGATTTAAATTTTTAGCAAGTTTTTAATCTACACAAACATGGGCTTAATATAAAGCTAAGGGGCTTTGGAGTTTTATTTATCAGAAACTTTCCGAAAATATTCGTTCAAACTATCTAAGATGGCCCCATTTTCTGTGGATTATGACGAGAGAAAAGCATGGAAATTGGAATATGCTCCATAAAAAATACAGGCATAAGCTTCATTACCAATCTTCAAGTAGTGAAATGTGTGTATTCGATCACATATATTTTACACAAAATCTTAACAAATTAATACTTGAACTGACTGATATTACATAACTCGTAAAGTTTAATAAATGACAGCTTATTACTGTAATATGTAATATATATTTGCAACAGAAACTTCAACAAATCTAGTATTACACGAATATCGTACCACATTACAAAATGAAGATGAACATTCAAAAGTAAACTCTATCCAGAGACCTTGTGAAAGCAACATCAGTGCAGAAAAATCAAGAGGACATTCTCATGACCACAACAAGGGAATGCTGCAAAGGTACAGGGAGCTGGCCTTTTTACTTCTTGAGACACACAATAATTTGTGTAGTTTATACCCAGCTACATGCTCTGATGTTGCCAGATTGAGAGATCTATTGAAGAATTAAGACAATCTAAAGAAGAGAAGGCTAAAGCTGGGAAAAATGTAGAAGATGGAGCAGCTGGTCTGTAAAGAAGTTCTCAAGAGCTTTCTAAGAGTTTGGAAGAGCACGAAAAGGAGTACCACATAAGAATCCCAAAAATAATGGGTACATACACACACACACGTGTGTATGTGTGTGTGCGCGCCGAAAATGGAACATTCTTGTTTGACTAATATGATTTCGTAACATATAGGTAAGTCTTACTATAGGGTGTACTAGCTGGTAAGAGCAGTGGAAATGAAGACAAGTGCCTTGAAGATCAATTAGGTGATGCTAAGATAGAAGTTGGAAGGACGGAGACAGAATTAAAGCAGTTGCAGACAAGAATAATTCATTGCGAGAAATAGCGGAAGGAGAAAAGCGGTTCTGACTTTGAATTTTGTTTTAATGCTTTGTAACTGAACTTTCAGCAGTTATCGTTTTGACTTTTGCACCAGACACTGGAAAGTTCAAAAATCATCATATAATAATCCAGAAATTGCAATAGAAAAGAAATAAGGGAGATTTGTAATAATATAGTTTGTTATTACTGAAGTGTCAAAAGGTCGTGGCACATTTATTTCTCTGCAGATTAGTAATGAATCATGACTGGTGTACATATATTCACATGATGGATCCCAGATTTAAGATCTTTATTAAGCTCCGTTCCTTCTTCTGTATGAACATAATAATGTGCACCTTTCTTGAGAGAGATTAATGTAGTGCAGAGTGCAATGGAATATGTGTTTGGATCAACCTTTGTTTGCAAAACCAGTGATGCTGCATGAGAGGTCAGCTTTTATACAATTGTTTTTTACAGCGATATATTTTTCTTGTGTTAGTAGTTTCTTACAGTAATGATAATGTGAAGGTCACACCATAACTGCTTTGTCATACTTCTATGTTTCTATTTAGTTTTTCTTTGAATGGAAATGATTGGACCAGAAATTAATTAAACAATTTGGACAGAGTCAGCTCCATGGAACTAAGGGCAGTCTGTAGTCATAGCTTGTTACCTGAATGGTAGTCTAACTTACCACCTGTCGTTCAGTAGGTTTGAAAGTCGTGCTTGTTATAAATGTTATCTAATCAAGCCTTGCTCTTGCACTATTTCTATTTTATTCACAACACATAACATAGTTGGAGACTGACTATTGTAGGATATAAGGTTTTGGATGTATCTAATGTTGTTAAATTGGCTGTGAATAGTTGGGAATAATAGCAGAAGAGTCTGGCATTTTTCCGTTCTCTGGTATCGGATTCATGGACACCCAAAGTTCCCATCATGTCTAAGTTATTTTCTTTCTGAAAGAGGTGGAATTAAGAAACATCTTTGCAGTAATTTCACCATCATTTAATTACACATCATAGGCAGAGGAATAGAATATTTATAGTTACTCCAAAGACTGTCTTCAATACTTTTTGAATCTAAGAACACTTGATCCGAAACATCATTTTGGCTCATCCCAGTTTTTCTTTTCTCATGAGCCTGCACCTTATTATGGACAATATAGGAAATAGAAGTGGACTTAGGAGGACGAAATGATTTTCTATTCAATTGTGGGCTTACATTCAACTCAAGATTACATAGGTATTTATAGGACTTCCTATCACATAAGTTCATCCCCCTCAATTTAATTTTACTACATGCACCACAATTTACTAGGTACACATTAATTAATAATACATGCATACATGAACCACAATTAACTAGGTGCATATTAATTAATAATACATTTATTTCAAACTTCTAAATTTATGAAACTAAATTAAATAGGTTAAATGCATATTTATTTTTCTAACACCCCCTCCCCCCCTCTAAACATGAATTTTGCATACTCCAAGCAAACTTCTTAATGCCTTGAAAGTATTGAACTTGAGAGCTTTGGTGAGAATATCTCCAATTTGGTCTTGAAACTTCACAAAATTAATCTTCACTACCTTGTTTGCAATGCATTCACGCACAAAGTGATATTTGGTATATATATGCTTGCTACGTTCATGAAACAACGAATTCTTTGCTAAAGCAATGGTCGATTTATTATCCACACTTACTTCAGTAGGCTCTCTTTGTGCAAAATGAAGCTCATTCAATAAATTCCTTAGCCAAACTACTTGTGTAACATAAGAACTGACAGCAGCATACTCAACTTCACAAGTTGACAGAGTAACAATTGATTGCTTCTTTGAGCTCCAAGTAAAAGCTGTGCTACCTATGTAAAATACAAATCCACTAGTATTCTTTCGATCATCAATGTCGCCACCCCAATCACTATCACTGAAACCTCTAAATTTGAAAACATTAGAGACATAATAATGTAACCCGAAATCAAGAGTACCTTTGATGTAACGTAAAATTCTCTTCGCAGCTTTCAAATATGTTGTCGTTGGTGTAAGTATTATACCCTAGGTCCAATCAACTTTGGACATAAATACTTTTGATATATAATTAATACAATTTAATGGCAGATCTATTATTTAATTAATAGACAATTAAATAAATAATAGAGTCCGTAGATTCAAATCTTCGTAATTTGTTAATCACAAGGAGTTGTGATTGTGAGATATAAATTATATCTGATTGAATCTTAAATCGTCTGTGGTCGTAAGTAATAACGAGATACGGATATCGTTATTACGGATAGACCATCTCGTGTGGCATTTTTTACTTGTCAAGTAAGTAGCTGATCTCACAAGTTAAAGTGTGGTGACACTTAAATGAACACGTTGATGTTTTGTTATAGAACAAAACAATGGAGACCCGTCGAGAGATTCCACATGAATAACTATCTGAGTGTCAGTGATTAATCTCTAACGTTCGGTAGTGGAATTGATTCTTTGACTTGAGGTCGTCATGGTACTTTATATGAAGACAGTCATAATTTGGCGATGTTAGATGTTGCTCTAAAAAGGGCCGCTAATACGACATTGTTCGGGTACGTCAAGAATCGTATAAAGGTTGTGATTGATTAATAAAGGATTCATCACTCTTGGATAGTATGATATTATGATCTGCGTTTCATTCAATTAAGCCGATGATGAAATCCTTGGCCAATGTGTACTCATAAGTCGAAAATGAGTTTTCGACTTATATTGACTTAATAGTGAAGTGAAAGACATAATCGTTAATCGAGATTGACACACTTCCATATCTCGTTATTGATCGGATCATATTGACGAAAGGATTATAGTTTCACGGTAAACGAACGAGTTTGGTTTTGTCATACCACGTGACATTTCTCGTCACATGTATTGCTCTGACACATTGCTAGATGTCAATCTGGGACAGCGAGTGTGAATTGATAATAAACTAAAAGGATGTTTTAATTTATTAATTTTGATTATATCAAAATAATATTTCACGTCGTTAGATATTGTGATCGGGAACCTGATGGGTCGCACACAAAAGAAAATTGAAAGATTGCAATTTGTCAATTAATTAATTTAACAATCGTTGGATAAATTAATTAATTAGGTTGGTTATTTATAGGCCCGAATTAATTAATTGAATTAATTAATTTACGGACCGGATTTAATTAAATGGATTAATTATATATTGGACCGGACCGGGCCAGGCCCGCTTGGGCTTATATAAATACATGGCTAGGGTTTTCAATCCATATGATTTTTCATAATTACTCTTGCTAGCACAAGAAGAGAAGAAAACCCTGGTAGCTGCAATCTTATTCTCTGTATGGATCACCATTGGAGGCTGGACAATTGAACAGTTGTGGATGGCGAATCAAGATTGCTGGAACGAAAAGAAAAGCAAAATATTTGCAGAATTCTTTAAAGGTACAATCTTTATCACGATTTCTATCTAACACAAATGGATTCTCGGTGGGAATCGAAATAATTTTAATTTTCCGCTATGCATGTATAAGTAGATTCCCAACAGTGGTATCAGAGCCTACTTTGTGTTTGTTGGAAATTGTTTAACATCATTGTACAATCAAAAGTTGATTGTTGTGTTTCTTTTTCTAGTTTCTAGCAATTAAAGAAATTTAGTTTTCAAAATATTGAAATCTGGTTCTGATTCGAAAATAAAAAATAAAAAAATAAAAGGAAAAGGGTTGGCAGCT